ATGAAAATAACCATAATATCAGGATCACACGAGTGTATTAAAGTTAACATGATATCAGGGTCACACGAGTGTATTAAAGTTAACCTAATATCAGGGTCACCGAGTGTATTAAAGTTAACATGATATCAGGGTCACACGAGTGTATTAAAGTTAATTTAATATCAGGGTCACCGAGTGTATTAAAGTTAACATGATATCAGGGTCACACGAGTGTATTAAAGTTAACATAATATCAGGGTCACACAAGTGTATTAAAGTTAACATAATATTAGGGTCACGCGAGTGTATTAATGTTATCATAATATCAGGGCCACACGAGTGTATTAAAGTTAACATGATATCAGGGTCACGCGAGTGTATTAAAATGACTGTATATTCCTTCTAAAGTTGATAGAAACTTTTAAAAGATTTCTAGATATAATTGTTTGTTTGAATTTCAGACAAGAAACTCATTATTTTAGAATGTAAGAATAATAAGTGCAGCCAATCAATGCTGAATGGTGTGAAGATGACTATGTTCTTGATTCTAAAGCACGAAGTCTTAAACTCAGATTGTTATGTTATCCATAAAACCAAACTAGTTTTAGCTTGTCGTTTGTTAATAAACGTTTTCTCTAGAACATGAAGCAAATATAGAGATGTGACGTTACCGACTTGATTAAGAAATTATGATTGAGATTTATGGGTTCTTGCCTCTTATTCAATGTAATTTTCTGTCTTAATCGGAGTTTCATTTTATCAGAGTTTCTATCCCTCTACAGGAAGTCAGACTGAAAATGATGGATCCCCGGGGATATAGCAAGTCATCCACCCTGGAGAACACAGCCAACACCCCCGCACCTGAGCTGGAGACTGCCTTATGCAAAAACATCAACACCCTGTACGGCGTGAGTCCGAGCGACATCGACAAGTATTCCCGGGTGGTTTTCCCAGTCTGCTTCGTCTGTTTCAACTTGATGTATTGGATCATCTACCTACACATTAGCGACCTGTTGTCGGAGGACTTCGCTTCTGTTGGATAAACAGCCAACATGTCTCAAGAAACCAACACAACACGTGCTCTGAAGTAGCTCAATATAACAAATCTGAAACTGACCCTCATGTGTACAGCTAATACAAGTAAAATGATATACATGCCATTAAACGTTAGATATATTAGCATTTTCTATATGTAGAAGCTTGGTTAATATCCTTACAAAAAGCTTTGGAAGTTAAATATTAGAGCAACACTCCACGTGTTAGTCGTGTCTGACATTACTGCACTCTTTCTTTTTGCGTAAATACACATATACATACATATATATATATAACCCACACAGAGTTCGAAGTATATAACAAAAGATACTGTACAAACATCATACCCTGCGTCACGTGACGAAAGGGGTAATATCTTGTGTAAAAGGAAAGGCTTTGGGAAAGGGGATGTATAAAATAATGGGGTTGGTGTAATTTTATAAAGTATTTAATCAAAGGTGGAACAAACTGAACAAAGTAAAAATGTTAGTATCGATTAAATAAATCTTAAAATAATAATAATAAAGATGACAATATAGATTAGAATTGATAACGATTTTAAGATTAGATAGAAATATGAAGAACTGTATGAAAATGAAACCTTGGAAGGAACGTATATCTTAAAATTACTTAGGAATATGGAAAACTATATAAAAATGAACCTTAGGACAGGAATGGAATGCCTAATGATCAAAGATAGGAGAAGACAGGATTAAGATGATGGTGGATAGTATATATACATATATATTAACAGCTGGGTGTTGAAATTAATATAAACATTATTGACGGGAATATATATATAAGATAGGATCATGGATGTTGGGGTTAAACTATATTTAAACAATTGGGAAGATATATATAAGATAGGACCATGGATGTTGGGGCTAAACTATATCTAAACAATTGGGAAGGTATATATAAGATAGAAATGGGGATGTTGGGGCTAAACTATATTTAAACAATTGGGAAGGTATATATAAGATAGAAATGGGGATGTTGGGGCTAAACTATATTTAAACAATTAGGAAGGTATATATAAGATAGAAATGGGGATGTTGGGGCTAAACTATATCTAAACAATTAGGAAGATATATATATATATAAGATAAGACCATGGATGTTGGGGCTAAACTATATCTAAACAATTAGGAAGGTATATATAAGATAGAAATGGGGATGTTGGGGCTAAACTATATTTAAACAATTAGGAAGGTATATATAAGATAGAAATGGGGATGTTGGGGCTAAACTATATCTAAACAATTGGGAAGATATATATATATAAGATAGAAATGGGGATGTTGGGGCTAAACTATATTTAAACACTTAAGGGAAAATGTGGAATTTGAGAACTAAACCATGCTAAATATGTAAAGAAAGGCATAAAGGTTATAAAACTAAATAATCTTGTTTTGATGTAAAAACGGAAGATTATGTGGTAGATTTCTTTCAAAAAAACTTAAAATAAGGTTGGTAATACGTTTATATTCTTGTATATCCTTTGATTATTTTTGGTACTATATTAAATATAACAAAAACTATTTAATTAAGAAACTTATCATTCCCTTTATCTGAAGCAATAACCTAAATCCAGGGTTTTTAACCTGCTCAAAGTGACAAGGCATTATTACCGTAGAGATTTTAATTTACACCTAATATTAAGATCACTCGTTCCCCTTGTCCAGCATTGAGGACGCACGTCCGAAAGATCTTAGAATTCCAGCATGTTGATTGGCTCATTTATCTTCGATTTGAAAGTTGGTAGACCCACACACTTCTATTGGTCACTCGAACTTCAAACTGCTCAAACGAGGTCAGTCTGTTAATGTTCTTGTTACCAATTGACTTAGGTCAGTCTGTTAATGTTCTTGTTACCAATTGACTTGGATGTAGTTGTACAATTTGCCTTTTCTGAACAAATGTTTGTTACGTAAATATTCTTATTACCAGTGTGCTTAAGATTGTGTATTTGTTTCCGTAAGATATGTTGCTCTACTGGTGCTTGTCTTGAGCAATAAACTTATGCTCACCAAACAAATCTTTAATAGTTTCTCAGTAACGCCATCTACAATCAAACCAAAACCAGATATAGCAGCGCTCAGAAACCCGTCCACGCTTTAGGAAAAATCTTAGAAAAAATTAGAGAAAAAAAAAACAACAACTGTTATCAGATTCAAATCAGACAGCGTGAACGGTTCGTTCTTTTAAAGTTGATCAATTTTTCTTTTTTTGCATTTTCCATGTAAAAGTAAAATCTGTTTTTAAATAACAGCACAAGTTTTACATTAGAACGAAACGATAACTACGCGTAATAAACGGGCTGATTCGTGTACATAGAAGCGCTGGACCGGGAAGACATGTACATTCCATTTTGTATTAAAACATCAATTAGAAGTAGTTTTTGTTGTGATTATTGTGTGTTCGGAAAAGACAAATAAAACCATAGAGTTTCATTCTAAGATCGTGTTGGTTATATCTCAAAATTCGCAACTCATATCTACAAGCACACATGGGAATTCTACAAAAATTGGCAGAATTGTCATACATTATTTAAACGAGAATTAATTAACCCCTTCCGTGATTTGGCCCAGATAAATCGGACGCCCTCCATGTTTTAAAATATATTGGCCCGAGTTAATTCGGACAAACCATTCCTCGCCGTATTTTTAATTATTTGCCCGAATGTTTTCCAATGTTATCATGTATTACAATCAGTGCTCGCTAGAGGGCATTGCAAATTATGTTTGTTCTGATCTCTATCGGATTTATTCTGAACTATATATCATAGAACTTAGAGACAACCATTATTATTGTTTACTGTAGTTTCATTGAAATAATGTATATTATGTGTAAATCCACATCTATTTATCGAGCATAGTTTGTGTAGAAATATAGTAACAGATCATAAAAGAACTTTTGATTCATTAATATATAAATATAGGCTATCAAAAAGCGAGATAAAAACCTGACTTTTATTGAGTTCATTTCCAAAAAAGCCTGACACGGAAGGGGTTAAACATATTACATACTAGACGTGTATGAAGACTGACGATATATTTAAGTTTTGTGTACATGATAATTGTGTAAATATTGTCAGTATTATATTATGTATGAACTAGCTGGGGTAATCGTAAAGAAAGACTAAACTATGTTAGATAATGTTCCCCTGCTTTGTGGAACGTAATAACTGATTTATTTAGCTGATTAACTACTCGTGTCTTTAATATTAAAACCAAAAGTTTATAAAGAAGACTAGAAGAGTGCCCTGTTTCAGGGTGTTTTGTATCCCGGGAAAAACAAAAAAAGCACTTGTAGACCGTTGGACAATATCTATTTACCATAGCAATGGAGGCAGTCAAAGTGTTGGTGATATCACACAACTGTCATCTTTATAGTAAGATAAGCTTTGACAGTACTTTTAGAGATTATATACACGGTAATCGTGTAAAAAGATTGTAGGTATTATATTTCACATGAATGGGAACGTTTGACAGTATTGTTCAATATTATATATGTGTGTGTAAAGATTATCGAATCTCAGGGAAATATTCACTAAAGTTTTGTTACAATAACTTCTTTGTTATACATCTACAACGAGAGCAGGAAACGGTAGAATAGTTAAAATAAAATTCTTTATTAAATACTTATCGGAATATTTCTCAAAGAGGCAAGCGACTCCTAGTGTCGATAACAAATAACTAAAGATCAGAAATGACTAATAGTAAAATTTTGATGTAGGGTATATTAATTGAAATATGTCCCTCAAAAGACGAAAATAACACAATTGTAAATGTTTTTATTTGAAAGCTCGGTAGAAAACAAGTAAAGAAGTCGTGGTCATTGAAGGATGCAGGTCATTCAATGACATAAGATAACTTTCTTTGAAAATAGGCAAAATCAATTTCGAGTCTTGTGGTTTTTCTTATCGAAAAGTTATTGTTTTCATTATAGTACCAATCAGATAGATCCATGAGAAACATAGTTCACCAAAGATACAGATTATTGGACTAACAAGAAAGACGGTTAGATGAACGAGAAAGATTGTTATGTCATTAAAAAACATTGTTAGGTCAATAAGAAAGATTGTTAAGTCATTAAAAAACATTGTTAGGTCAATAAGAAAGATTGTTAAGTCATTAAAAAACATTGTTAGGTCAATAAGAAAGATTGTTAAGTCATTAAAAAACATTGTTAGGTCAATAAGAAAGATTGTTAAGTCATTAAAAAACATTGTTAGGTCAATAAGAAAGATTGTTAGACCAGTGAGAAAGATTGTTATAAACTCAAAGAACCTGAAGAGCGTAAAATATAAGCAGCGCTCTTTATACATAAGATAATTAAAAGCTAAAGAAAACGGGCTCCCTCTATATCTTTATAAATAAACACGATAATAAAAAAATATAAAAGAGGCAAAACTATATAATTAAGTTTTTTTTTTTTAGAAATTGAATAGCAGCAGAACCGACAATAAAATACATTTTAGTAAACACATTTACTTACTGAATAAAATTAATAAATTAGTTTTAAAGACTATATGTTAATACTAACACCCCCGTAGAAAATGAATATCCTCACATTAAAAGTGGAAAGATCTAATATCTGAGTTAAACTGTATGAAGTCGTCTTATGTGACAGAAATGTTACATTGCTGTAATTTCTGCTCTGTAAGACATCCTTATGACCAATCGGTGGACGGCAATATGGATACGGCACTGTGAAGTATCAAGTGAGCTTACCATAGAAGCATATTGTTACAATAACCAGCACCAAGTGAGCTTACCATAAAGACATATTGTTACAAGAACCAGCACCAAGTGAGCTTACCATAGAGGCATATTGTTACAGGAACCAGCACCAAGTGAGCTTACCATAAAGACATATTGTTACAAGAACCAGCACCAAGTATTTTATCATAGAGGCATATTGTTACAAGAACCAGCACCAAGTGAGCTTACCATAGCGACATATTGTTACAAGAACCAGAGACGAATGAGTTTACCATAGACACATATTGTTACAGGAACCAGCTCCAAGTGAGCTTACCATAAAGACATATTGTTACAAGAACCAGCACCAAGTGAGCTTACCATAAAGACATATTGTTACAAGAACCAGCACCAAGTGAGCTTACCATAGCGACATATTGTTACAAGAACCAGTAGAAGTGAGCTTATCATAGCGACATACTGTTACAACAACCAGCATCAAGTGAGTTTATCATAGCGACATACTGTTACAAGAACCAGCATCAAATGAGCTTATCATAGCGACATACTGTTACAAGAACCAGTAGAAGTGAGCTTATCATAGCGACATACTGTTACAAGAACCAGCATCAAGTGAGCTCTTCATTATTTTTCGGACTCCAGTGGCTCAGTCGTAAATCTGAGGAGTTATAAAGCTAGAAATCGGGTTTCGATACTCGCAGTGGGCAAAGCACAAATAACCCATTTATAAATTTGTGCCTAAAACAAACAAACAATGCTTTCCCCTAAGTCTTCTGCTCTGTAGTAATTTTTTTACAGCGACGGTGTGTTAGAAAACTTATGTAAATAGTTTAAGTCTAAAATTTAGAAATTATATTTTTAGTACTGCTATTTTCTAGTCAGAAATAACAATATATAATGTTACATTATTATCAACAGAAACTGTGTCATAGTTCTGGCTCTCTGTAAATGTTAGTGGCTTATTATCAAAGAGGTTTTCAACCAGGGATTCTTCTTCCTCCCGCTTACGTCAACTGATTGATGTAAATACAAAATACGTGCCAATCCACGTTCGGTTAGAGCAAATAAAATCCGTAATGAAAGTTGCTTGACGAGATTGACGTTTGTACTCATTTCTATAGTAAGTGGTCCTAAGTAAAGAAAAGCAAAAAGTAAACCTGTAAAAGCAGAAAACCAAAGAAAACCTTGTTTTTTTTTAGTTTTTGCCACAAGTAAAATTGTATATCACATTACAACTCAACAAGTATTTTATATTTAATTATATGATTATTAGTCTTACAAAATGTTACTCATGACCCACACATTGATAATTAGTCATCGAAAAGTCAATATCGGGTATATCCACCGTTTGCCTGGATG